GCGTACTGTTACAACATTTGCTATATTTGCCTCGACTCCCCATATATATATTTTTTATCGAGCAGGTAATTAATTCGTAAACCCCCGTAGAATTGTCACCTCATGTGAGGGTGATCGTGCCATAGATTGCCTTTGCAATTTTAGAAATTATACGTGAATATTTCACCAAGTCTTTTGCAAGTAAATTTTACCTTTTGCGGGATGCATATGCTCGAGTGTGGGCGTCCGCTCCATCAAAGAGAAGCTGCTGTGATTCAACTCTCGTCCCACAGACTTCAAAAATACCTCGGTGTGCACACAAGCACGCGTAGTGTAGTCCCACGCTGATCCGTCATCAATTTTAGATCATGGAATTGCTAAATCATTGCTGCTATGAGCATGTCATGTTAAATTGTTAATTCCCCTAGCTGAGGGCAGAACATTTCTCCTTTTATATCTTAATGGGGGCGAGGAACTCGGCGTGTTGAAGGAACTGTTCTTGTCATGAATTTATGCAAGTTATAAAAAACAACACTTGGGTGTAAGGTTTCTGCAGGCCTGATTTAAAATTCACGTTTAAAACTTTATTTCGGGTATGGACTGGGTTCATACTCTTTGGTTCTATTCGGTAAAGTCACGTAGGTAAAAAATAAAACAACAAAAATCACGACGTTTCGGCCACAACACAAGCGGCCTTCATCAGGTAAAGGGATCAGGCTGTCTCGAGGACAGCGCTGGAGTGAAACACAGCCACGTTCAGACCTTTAAGCTGTGTGCGAGGAAACAAGGTGCCTTGACAAAGGAATTACCATAAAAAATTAGCATTTGATTGCCCGATTTAGAATAGAAGTGGTGTACATGCAAGTGCACATGCCGGTTGGCGCGGGGGGGGGGGGGGGGCTTACCTATTGATGGTGTGAAAAGGGAATTTAAGAGCTGCGAAAGTTTGGGATACCACTACTTGAAAAAATATACTGTACCATTGAAAATTTGTTTAATGTTTGGTTCGATTTAGAACATATTTCCAATGGTTGCTTAATTTGAAACCATCTCCTCGGTTGAAATTGTGTCTGTGCTTGTAGATCTGAATTGCCTCGTGAACAAATCTCTGATAAAAACCCGTGGGTTTGCAAAGAACCTTGGTATCGGAGAAAATTATATCGTGATCACCCACAGCGTTGTAACAATGATCAGCTACGGCAGAAGAATTCGTTTTGCCGTGTTTCAAATCTGATTTTTTTGTTGTTTTATTTTTTACCTACGTGACTTTACCGAATAGAACCAAAGAGTATGGATCCTGCAGTCACGAAAGCTTTAAATCTAGTATGGGCTGGGTTCACGCACACAGTGCCACGGTGTCGACATGTTATCTGCATTGCCTCGCCTCGTGTGCAGGAGGTCATGGGGTCGATCCCGACCCTGATGCCTGCTGCATATTTGAAGTTTGCATGTTCTCTCTCCCCGTGATTGCGTGGATTTTTCTCCTGGTCCTCCGCTTTTTTTCCCTCCACATTTAGAATAAACACGTGCTAAGAGTGTTTGGCTGCTATAAGTTTCCACACGATAAGCCCCTTCGTTAAGCTATCATTTGTGATGGCCAGGTCGCTTCTCAGAGGGCCTTTTACCTGGAGGAAAGTGAAGGTATGTCGTGAAGTATTTGGTTTTAAAATCAACTAGCCCTTTGAAGGAAAGGGGATTTTATCGCAGACGATGTTAAATCGCCGACAGAGCATTGCCTGCTTAGCGGTGTGGCGCAACCGCCCGTGATTTCAAGTGCGACGTTTGAATCTGTTTAAGAATCAGTTTTATACCCTTTCTGGCAATAAAACAAAAAACCTTTCGCAAGGAATCATGTCCGCATTAACGTCACATACTTGTGGTGAACATGCAACAAACACTCGCCCTGGTAATATATGCATTGTCTTTGAAACCGATTGGTCTCCACCAGAGGACGGCCTTCTTTAGGGCCCAGTCTCTACCAGTTGTTAGACCAGAGAACGCTTTTTGGCTTTCTCTGGTGTGACACCGCACGCCGCGTCAGATCTCAGCGGAGCGGGGAGAACGGCGCGACTCGTGAGGTCCACAGCGCCGCTCGCGCCTCTGACAGTCGACGTGGGGAAGGATCGGCGGATCGCTGTGCGAGACGCGCTCGCGCGCGGTTTTACCTCGACGAAGTGCACGTTGGCATTTTTGTACTAAATTACACAACTCTTTTCGTATGACCTTTACTCTGCGGGTTTTTGTGTCGCTGATTTTGTTCGATTTCTCTCCAAAGTGCCACCCAAGCGTAAGGCATTACGATTAAATAAGTATTTTTTTCTTCCCAAATTATATCTCCTGTTCATGATGAATGTAATAGATGTGGTTGTTGTGGCTGTTTTTTTATTTTATTAGATTTTTTGGTTCCTTTTAAAATATGCGCTCGTGTTAGACTGAGGGGTTAAGGCGATGGAGTGGTTGTGTTTACCTTGATTGCAAGCTATATTTCTTCTGGTATTTTTATTTATATATTTCGCTACAACTCTATTTTTTTATTCACGTCATAAAATAAACTCCGAGCTGTTATTACATAAAGTCCCATGGGATATTATTTTTACTCAATTAAAATGAGTTTGCTACAGAAATGCAAATTAATCTTATTGCTGATGCTCTCTGGAGTGTACGTACATTGAACGAGGGTATCGATGCTCTAGACAATCATGACATTTATGGCGTGTGTAGTGTATCAGGTAAAGGCGTAGCCCTTGAATTGTTCGTTGCTCTACTGCTGGCTGAAGGAGCTCGAGAGGACCCCTCTAGAGGCTACTGGCCTACACTTTCATCCTGGCCAGATGTGTTGAAACAGGTGGAAGGAGCCACACTTTAATCCACGACACACGACTATCAATAAACTAACTGTGGTGTATCCATTTTAGACTGCTGGGTGGACAGAGGCCGGGGGATTTATTAGGAAGCCTGCATCGTTGTTTTAACTTGCCACGCCGTTTATATTGCCAGTATGGTGACCAACACACCACGGCCGAATCACGATAAATATAGTGAATAATGTGTTGTTACATGATTATGGAAACAGTATTATCATTATTATATTGTCAATTATATTGTTATTATATTGTCACGAAATGGGTTTATAATTTTTTTAAAACGCATTGAAAGCACAGCAGGTATTGTGAAGCTGTTACCGCTTTGCATATTTGCTGCTGACGACAACTAATTTGGTCACAAAAAGAAGTAAAGTTTCCTTCAATGCAAATGTTGCAAATGCCCCCTTTTGTGTTTACGTTGAGTTTTAAGTTCGAATGGAATGAGGTTGGATGGAATGCGTGGGACAAACCAAATGCGGCATCAGGACGGCGGGACTAAGAAAACAGTTCAGCCGGGGGCGAGTCAACATCAAAGCTTTAAGCAGAGTTCATCATTTCAAGGCTCGCTCCTCCCATTTGAAAACAATAGAATAAAAACGGAGAGAGCCGTTTCAACCAGAACGCCTCACCTTCGGTTGTACATTTCTGGCGGCCCAAAGGGTAGCCGGGTAGACGCCGCGTTCGATGAATGTGGCCCGGGTCGGTCGCCACGGGGAAAAACATTAGGAACTTGAAAAATGTCAGATTCAAAGTTTTTATTTATTTAGGCCACGGAAGAGGCCACTTGAAAAACAAAGGGAGGTGCCCCCCCCCCCCAAAAAAAAGAACAGGGAGAGATGTTGTAAGAGGGGGAGAGGTGGGCACGCACGAAGCCTGTCCGGGAACACAAAGGGGACATCGCGCGGAGAAACGCCGACAAAGGGCAGCCCACGCCTCGTGGAAGGTGACACAATCCGTCAAGCGGCGATTGAAGATGCCAGCGAAATATCTGTCAGGAGTGGGAACGGTTGATTTTTCTCTTCCTTTCTACCATCCGCCCACACGTGCGCGCAGGGTGGTGCCCTGGTCACAGATAATGAGAGAGACGACGCCTCCTGTCTTTGTTTCTGGCCGCTTTTATTTTCCCACTCGGCCCATCTGGAGGATACAAAAGTCGGCCTGAAATGTAGTCTCATTTTTGTCGTTGTTGTTGTTTGTTGCGGTGTTCTTTCAAGTAGACGATTTCACGCCGTCGTTTTACTGCCCAAAAATAGACGGGGGCACTCAACGTTTCGCAAATCGTCCCACACCAACGCACGTCTCGGGCGATGCGCGCGATTGCTATTTGCGCATCGGGCACCCCAAAGAGAGGCCTCGCTTGCAGGTATCCACGAATCGCCTCGACGTTTAACAACTCACAACGGCACGTCGCCATTCGTGTTCAATTTGCTCAAGCGGGGCCTTCGCCTCCAGTGCCGCCGGCGCACGCGAGACCAGGAGTTTATCTTAACTCGAGAGCAGGTGTGGCGGGTTACTGGCCGCAGGGTGTGTTGGCCGCTGTGCCAGAAGTTCATATGTGTCCGCACAGGTGGGGGGGTGGTGGTGGGGGGGGTGGGTTTTTTTTTTGGTTCAGTAGGAAGCGTTCAGGGGAGACGGTGAATCAGCTCAAAAGTGTTGCCAAAAGCGATGGGTTGACGCTGTTTTGAGATGGGAGCGTGGACCCTCGGGGTTTATTTAGGTTAAAGACTTTGTGCGCTGACCTCCTCTTGCCGCTTACCCTCTTCTCAAACGCCGCCAGCAGGCGTGAGTGTGGGTGGGTGGAGTGGAGGAGGAGGAGGAGTGGGGTGGGGGGCGAGGGAACTTTTCCGTGCGTCGGTTCGTGGCGAGCGTGCGGGAGACAAATCTTGATACCGGCGGCGGGGGCAGCGCGCCCGCCCGCCCACCCGCCACCCCATCCCCTCCTCCAGCGCCTCATTATTATCAGCCGCCCGTGCGTCCCACGCTATGTGTCGCAGCCGCTCCTGGCAGGGGAAACGTTGTTACCCCGAGGTCTGGTGCCAGTCGCTTTCACGGTCGCGGCATTTGTGATTTCTCATGCTTTTCTGTTGTTGTTGTTGTTGTTGTTATAAACGTGCGCGTTTTCATGATTGTTTTGTTGCAACCTGTCCTCCGTTGCAGTTTGACGAGCACTTCGGAGCACCGCAATTAACACGGGAGCGGTCAAGGATGGCCGTCGGCGTGAAGGGCAGCGCAACTTTGCTGCGCTCTGGTTTCTTGCTGTCGCTCCTGGTGGTGCTGCTGCTGCTGCTGCGCGATGCTACGTCTGCCTCCAGCAAGACCACGAGCATCCCTCGCCTCAAGCTCACGTACAAAGGTGGGCCGCTGTCGACACCCGCGCTGCTGCTCCTGTCCAGCGGTGTCGCGGACTCAGGCGATACAGGCGCCTGCAACTTCGCGGAGCGAAGCAAGCGCGTAGCTGTATTCGAAATGAACCTTGGGAATTTTTGTGTTACGTTTCGTGCAGATTGTGATGAGTACCAAACAAACCTTTTGGACTTATTGCAAACAGTAAAAAAAAAACAACAACGAGCTTTAGTCTTTTAGAAAAGAAGTTAGCAGTGCAATTTGGTTTCATCTTTGTTTTTAATGGCAGGGAAAATATTTTAAATGTACATTATAAATTGCTGCAGAACTGGTAGGCGTGGTTAAGCATGATTAAAATGCATAGAGAGTCCTGATTTCTTATAATAGACGTGTCCATTTCATGGGGTTATGGGTTTCACATTGCTGTTGATTTTTTTCCAGAACCCCATTTCCATTTTAGTTTCGAGCATTTTATTTTATTTTATCAGAGGAGCTAATGTACGACAAAGTATCGACGGTATCTATGAACCTTCATGCGCGAGATGACAACCGAAAACACGTTGAGATATACACGCGTGAGGCTTAAATAACTATTAATCGGCACATCTAATAAATATTGATAATTAAAAATATATATATTTATATACCAAAAGAACGTAGCCAAGGTGGAGGGCCTACAATTGCCGGCTGGTGCCACTGCTGACACGAGAGGCTTCATTTTGGGGTAGCCCTACAGAGCCCCCCCCCCAGAGAGGACATTGGAGCATTCTAGATTTGAAGTTTTCGTGACTGCAAGGATCCATACTCTATTGTGGAGCACCCTCCTACACTGGCCAGACTTTCCTTGCAAGACGTGGGAGTTACCCACCACTTTGCCCTCAACGCGCACGGCCTACCGATCGCACGAATGTGGTGAAGCCGTCTGGGCTTCTGGGTGGACAGAGGTTGGGTGGTGGGGGCTTCAGAATGAGAATATTTATTTATACTCCAGGAGGAATCCGATGAGCTATAAAGCTCTATTTCACAGATGTCCAGTCGGGGCGGGTAAAAACGTTACGACAAACAATACAAAACCACGATCGTAGTGCAAAGTACAAGAGAAGTAAACAAATCACCCACAAACAAACAAATAAAACGAAACCATTCCCATCCTACCAGGCAAAGCCCACTGAGGTATCAACTTATTTTTCAAAAGCGACCCTAGCCACAAATGATAGCTCAACAAAGTGGCCCATCATTTGGACATTTATAGCGGCAAAATAATCGACGTGAGCCGTTGCTTTGGCTGCCTTGCCGGGAGGTCGAACTGCCACCGACCTTAGTGGATTTCTGCCACGGTGGAGTGCTCTTAGCACTGCATTGCACCTGCGCTCATCGGAATGCGGGAGTGTAACAAGTGACACGTTAAGTCATCGATAGCTACGACGATAAATTATAGTCACCTTCTTATCTAACATCTGCGCTAATACTCTGTGTAAACTTACAGGATTTTTGTGAAACGTAATTTTCGTTGCATCGAATATATGTGATCCGTGATGTCTAAATGTTGTCAAAGTATTTTATATATACTCTATCTGGACACAAAAATAACCCTTTCCATGATCTGATATTTTAACAAAGTTAAATTGCGGAAACTTCACACCGCTTGAGTAAAGTTGAATCAATCTGTACGCACACAATGCGATATTTCTGCGTTGTTTACCAAACAGCCTACAGCACACACATGGACTATCAAATTACCGTTATTAATTTACATCCACGCCTCTTAGCGTTATGCGCACAAGTGGCGCTGCGCTTCATGCCCAGTGTTACTCCTGCTGCTGCTGCTGCCGCTGCATGCCCAGTGTTCCTCCTGCTGCTGCTACTGTTGCTGCTGCATGCCCAGTGTTCCTGCTGTTGCTGCTGCCGCTGCATGCCCAGTGTTCCTCCTGCTGCTGCATGCTGTTGCTGCATGCCCAGTGTTCCTCCTCCTGCTGCTGCTGCTGTTGCTGCTGCTGCCGCTGCATGCCCAGTGTTCCTCCTGCTGCTGCATGCTGTTGCTGCATGCCCAGTGTTCCTCCTGCTGCTACTGTTGCTGCATGCCCAGTGTTCCTCCTGCTGCTACTGTTGCTGCATGCCCAGTGTTCCTCCTGCTGCTACTGTTGCTGCATGCCCAGTGTTCCTCCTGCTGCTACTGTTGCTGCATGCCCAGTGTTCCTCCTGCTGCTACTGTTGCTGCATGCCCAGTGTTCCTCCTGCTGCTACTGTTGCTGCATGCCCAGTGTTCCTCCTGCTGCTGCTGCATGCCCAGTGTTCCTGCTGCTGCTGCCGCTGCGCTGCATGGCCAGTGTTCCTCCTGCTGCTGCTACTGTTGCTGCTGCATGCCCAGTGTTCCTCCTGCTGTTGCTGGTGTTGTGCTACATGACCAGTGGTCATTCTGCTGCTGCATGCCCAATATTCCCCCTGCTGCTGCTGCTGCAAGAACCCCACTCACACTGTGGCAGAGCAATGCATTTTTCACATTCTGAGGTTGAGATGCTACTGCATTTTCTATGAATCAAGCCGGGTGTATTCCCGACTGCTCTGACATTGCGAGTTACCATTTCACTTTGACTTTAATTAAAACATGTTTTTACTTTGTTGGGGTGGGTTTGATTTCCTGTGGGTTTGATTCCCAGCCATGGCTAACATGATGAGTGGCGAGTGACATCTGAACCAGTCCTGGGCACACTCCCCCAACCCCCATTTCAACGGACACTGACCAGCGTGGTCAAGTACGATCAAACAACTTCCATTAAATGTGTTGTTGTTGTTGTTGTTTATCAGAAGTTAGCACCACTTTGTATCGGTCAAGACCAAGGCTCAGTATTTCTGGAGCGCTGCTTTGGCCGGCTTGGCGTAGGGATAATCGGCATAGAGCGTGACCGCTGGGGGACAAAGGTACGCCTCCTCCGTGCGCAGAATACACGGGACTCGTGAGGTCGGCGAACGGTGAGCGATGATTTTGACGACGTTCGGCGTTTGCGAGGGTTACCATCGTCGGACCGTCCGCCGCCGGCCGTATTGACGATGATGTTCGGTGACGATCGGCGTCCGCCACGTGCGGTGTCCGTGGGGATGCTCGCCCCGGTCCAGAGCAGAGAGCCTCTTACTCAGGCATCGCAGCTCGCGACGGGAAGGCGATCGGGCGTCCACAGGCTTCGCGCAACATCGCTGCCTCTGGATTTCTCCACCGTAGTCTCCGCGGCCCACTGAAATGGCTCTGAATTTAGCGACTGTCTATGGAGTTCGGTTTGGGAGCAGTGGTTTTTGGCATACCTTGCTATAAATCTGGCCACAGCTGGATTTTATTTCCAGCAAATGATTGATGTTTTTTGGTTTTAAAGCTTTCGTGACTGCAGTGATTCATATTCTTGGTTCTTTCGGTAAAGTCACGTTGAAGGGAAACAATAAAATATTAAAATATATATAAAACAATAAAATTCTCATGACGTTTCGACTGTAACACAAACAGTCATCATCAGGTGTGAAAAAAACAACGGCAAGAAGCACTGTTTGTGTTACAGTCGAAACGTCGTGAGAATTTTATTGTTTTATATATTTTATTATTTTATTGTTTCCCTTCAACGTGACTTTACCGAAAGAACCAAGAATATGATTGATATTTGTTGTAGAGTGATAGCTCTACAGGTCATGGTATAGATATCACCCCCTGTTTAGTTTAAATGTTGTTTAATTTGTCTCAGTCCCATCCGCGCTTCCATCTCAGCTTTTTGCTGAATATGGTGCTTTACAAATCTTGGATTGATTCGTGGTCCCCTGAGGTGCAATGGCGAGCACGGTGAAATTTGGTGAAGCTATCCCTATGATAGGCACAGCGTAAGGCGGGGGCTTCATCCAGCAGTGGATTGATAAAGGGCTGTTGTACATCATTATTATGCAGTTTAATGAAAACTGATAAGATGCTAAACCAAATCACGAAAAACCGGACAACCTTGAGAAAAATCCACGCGACCACGGGGAGAACGTGCCAACTTCAAATTGACAGGCGAGGTAGTTAACATCTCGCCACCGTGGTGCCCTTTGAGTGTGGCCAATACAGGTGAGGCACACAGCCAGCTCAGCAGACCTTGTTGAATTCAGTCCTTCATCTCCCGCACGTTACAGTGTGGGCAAGAGAGTGCTGTTTCTCGTCAAGGAGCATAAACCACCACACAAACTCCTGTCATTCTCGCAGCAGCGGCTTTTGGCTAGCCATCGAACAAAGATGGTGGTCACCGCATTGCGCGCATTCAGATGCGCTCCCGCATCTAGATTGAAAACTCACTTATTAAGAACTCCTTGTTTGTGCTCCGTTTGTTGTCCTTCCCCCACACTCTCCGATTCGCACGGTTCACTACGTACGGTGCGAAATAAGTTCAACATACATAACGTACATTCGCTGGGAGGCCAGGTACAGTGGCTCCGTGTCGTGACCTGGCGAGAAGGCCTTCAGCCAAACCCGAAGCGCTACATGTGTTGCTGTAACTTGCAAGAGTAATTACACCGGGGGGGGGGGGGGGGGGGTGGGGGGCTCCTCGCCTCCCTCGCTCTTTTCTCGCACCCCCTCAATGAATACACTCTTTTGAGAGGCACAGTGAGCGCCACTGACGCAGTAATGTCTGGATTAAGCGTGTAATCTTAACTTAACCCTAATCTCGTACGCAAGTTTTTCATGAAGCATTTAGCATGATGTAATAACGGGGAGCGTGGATTAACGGGAGTGCAATTTGCTCGTACAACGACGCCTGTATGCAGCGTATTCAACGTGGTATTGCCAAGAATGCAATATCCGCATACAGTGTGGTGTATTTGTATGAAGCACTTAGCAGTGGAGTGCAACATTTATGTTGTGCGTTGATAGTAAAAGTAACAAAAAGTAAAAGTGATTTCCTGCTCAAATGAGCGTTGGAAATTCCACGTTCTGAATAGTGGTACAGTGGTGTAAATTCCATATTCCTATGGCATAGGCAGAGCCTCTCCATGGGACAA